GGATGGACCAGGCTCGAGATCGCACGAGATCGCACGAGATCGCACGAGATCGCACGAGATCGCACCAAGATGGCCGACCTCGCCCGCGGGATGGACCATGCTCGAGATCGCACGAGATCGCACGAGATCGCACCGAGATCGCACGAGATCGCGCCAAGAGCGCCGACCTCGCCCGCGGGATGGACCAGGCTCGAGATCGCACGAGATCGCACGAGATCGCACGAGATCGCACCGAGATGTCTCGACCGCGACCGCGGGATGGACCAGGCTCGAGATCGCACGAGATCGCACGAGATCGCACGAGATCGCACGAGATCGCACGAGATCGCACGAGATCGCACGAGATCGCACGAGATCGCACCGAGATGTCTCGACCGCGACCGCGGGATGGACCAGGCTCGAGATCGCACGAGATCGCACGAGATCGCACGAGATCGCACGAGATCGCACGAGATCGCACGAGATCGCACCGAGATGTCTCGACCGCGACCGCGGGATGGAGCAGGTGGAGCGCGAGCTGACGGCGCTCGAGGAGGCGGCCGAGAAGGAGGAGGAGCGGCGGGAGGCGCTGCACCGCGAGGCGATGGAGGCGTGGAGCACACACACGCACACACGCTCACACACACACACACACACACACACACACACACACACACACACACACACACACACACACACACACACACACACACACACACACACACACACACACACACACACACACACACACACACACACACCGCTCACCCACGCGCACCGGGCCTCGCACGTTGAACGCCGGTGCGGCTCCTGTCGTCTAGACGTGGAGTCGCGAGGGACCAGCCTGGCCCTTGCCCCCACCACCTCGTGTGTGTGGAGAAGTGTACCTGGCCTGGCCTCCCCTAAGGCTTGGAGCGCGGCCAAGGAGCAGCGTGACGAGGCGCGCCGCAGGCATCGCGAGGGCCGCGCCGCCGCCCGGGCAAGCGAGGGCGGAGGCGGCGGAGGCGGCGGCGGCGGCGGAGGAGGAGGAGGCGGCGGCGGCGGCGGAGGAGGAGGCGGCGGCGGCGGAGGCGGAGGAGGAGGAGGAGGAGGCGGCGGAGGAGGAGGAGGAGGCGGAGAGGGCGACGAGGACGACGAGCTGCTCGCTCCGGCGATGCGCCCAATGTCTGACTCGGACGCTGACGAGGAGGAGGAGGGCGCGGCGGCGGCGGCGGCGTCGGAGCCGCCTCCTGCGGCGCCGCCGCCCGTCGACGAGGACGTGTTTGTGACCGTTCTCGGCGAGTTTTACAACTGGGCGGCGGAGCGGAAGGAGAGCTTCGAGAGCGACCTGGGCGCGGCGGAGGCGGCGTTTAGCGCGCTGCGCCTCTTTCTTGGCGAGGAGGCGCTGACGGAGCGGGACCCCTAGACGCGGAAGATCTCAAAATCTCTCCCCCCTGTCTCTCCCCGCACCTGGCAGCACGGAGCCTAGACGCGGAAGATCTCCCCATCTCTCCCCCCGTCTCTCCCCGCACCTGGCAGCACGGAGCCTAGACGCGGAAGATCTCCCCATCTCTCCCCCCCCGTCTCTCCCCGCACCTGGCAGCACGGAGCCTAGACGCGGAAGATCTCCCCATCTCTCCCCCCCTGTCTCTCCCCGCACCTGGCAGCACGGAGCCTAGACGCGGAAGATCTCCCCATCTCTCCCCCCCCGTCTCTCCCCGCACCTGGGAGCACGGAGCCTAGACGCGGAAGATCTCCCCATCTCTCCCCCCCCGTCTCTCCCCGCACCTGGCAGCACGGAGCCTAGACGCGGAAGATCTCCCCATCTCTCCCCCCGTATCTCCCCGCACCTGGCAGCACGGAGCCTAGACGCGGAAGATCTCCCCATCTCTCCCCCCCCGTCTCTCCCCGCACCTGGCAGCACGGAGCCTAGACGCGGAAGATCTCCCCATCTCTCCCCCCGTCTCTCCCTGCACCTGGCAGCACGGAGCCTAGACGCGGAAGATCTCCCCATCTCTCCCCCCGTCTCTCCCCGCACCTGGCAGCACGGAGCCTAGACGCGGAAGATCTCCCCATCTCTCCCCCCTGTATCTCCCCGCACCTGGCAGCACGGAGCCTAGACGCGGAAGATCTCCCCATCTCTCCCCCCGTCTCTCCCCGCACCTGGCAGCACGGAGCCTAGACGCGGAAGATCTCCCCATATCTCCCCCCGTATCTCCCCGCACCTGGCAGCACGGAGCGTAGAAAGGGAAGACGGACTGATCTCTTCCAACCAGCGCTCGAGAGGACACGCGCGGCTCCGCCGCACTCCGCCGCCCTCCGCTGCATTCCCAGTCTTCACAGCCCGTGCATTCAAGCGCGGTGCTCTGAATAGACTGCGCAACACCGCCTTCCGGGCTCTGAGGCTGGCGGCTCGGTCACATAGGAGCCGGAGCAGCTGTTCGAGCCGCTGCACAAGTTCCTCGTGCGCTTCGACGCCGTCGCAAAGGAGGCGGAGGATATCTCCCCATATCTCCCCATATCTCCCCATATCTCGCAAAGGAGGCGGAGGACGCACACTCACGCCGCTCCTCACCCGCACGCGCACCGGGCCTTGCACGTTGAACGCCGCGCCGGGCTCCTGTCGTCTAGACGCGGAGTCGCGAGGGACCAGCCTGGCCCTTGCCCCGCCACTACCTCACCTCGCCTTAGGTGGAGGATATCTCCCCATATCTCCCCATATCTCCCCACACCTTAGGTGGAGGATGCGGCACGCGAGAGCGCGCGGCAGGAGGCGCGGCAGGCGCGCCGGCAGGCCAAGCAGGGGCCAAAGGGGCCAGGCCGGCTGCCGAACCGACTTTTGCTCGACGGGCCGTCGAGACCTCAGCCGGCCCAGCGGCCCGATGTCACCGATGTGGTGGCCGCGGCGGGCGGCGGCGCGGCGGGCGGCGGCGCGGCGGGCGGCGGCGGAGGGCGCGGCGGAGGAGAGCGCGGCGGAGGAGGGCGCGGTGGCGTGGGTGAGGTAGTCGAAGTGATGGGCGACGGCGCGGCGGCCGGCGCGGCGGCCGGCGC